CACTTTCCAAAAAGGATGGGGAGGTGGGGAGGCGGCCCACCCCACTAAATCACACCCTGGAAAGGAATAATATGTATAGATCAATGGACCTTTCCGGAGTGTCAATCAAACTTAACAACTGACTAATCAGAACAGCGCTAGGAAAACGCACGCGGCTCACAAACACACGTGTTGTCCCAAAACACATGTGTTCGCATACGTTTTAACACTGTCGTCTTGTGGGACCTTAGAAACAATATCCAAGGGGTGGGGCTTAGGGGAAAGGTCCATTATATCAAAGATACTAGAAATACAAGATAGAGTTCTGGCATTGTAAAAATGAGGCGGAAGTCGTGCCCAACGTAGGCAGCGCCCTTCTTTTTAACCATGCAAGTTTCCTATACTTCGTGCCCAACGTACAGGGCGCCCTTCTGTTGCTAAGTATATCCAGACGCAAAAGGCGCCCTTCCTTTTCCACTAATGGAGGAAAACTTTCACTAAGAGTGCGTCCGGCCATGCGATTCTGCGCTGTATTGTTGTTTTATTCTTTACTGATTCTTGATTATGCTTTAATTGTTTTGTGTATTATTTGGATAATAGCAACGATTTCTACCGCCACCAAGGAGGTTATGTATTCACCGATGTCACTGTCTGGGTGTCTATTCCAGTTCGTTTTTATATTATCTTTGTTGAGAATTGATAATAAAATACGCGACGACTTGGTAACGAAAGTTTGGCACAAATTTTTTTTAGATCCAGCTGTAGGGGGCGTCCCATTTTTCGTATTCCCACTATGCATTTCGGTGGAACACGGTGGAACACTTTTTTTGTGTGGAGAACTCTATCTTGTATTTCTAGTATCTTTGATTATATGTAGAACAGACAGGTACAATAATTCTTTCATACCATATTCGATCAGATTGTATAATCATAATGGACGTTTTTGATGATTGTATGTGCAGTATTTTAAATGGCCTATTGATTTAATCTGAATTTCAGTAATTTTAAATTTTTTATTCTTTTAGTAATTTTCAAAATTTTAACTGGAATCTTTATTCAATTAAATTTTTAAAATTACTTACTAGATGTATTATGACAGTGTCTTAATTGTATCTTGTTTTTTCTATATGGAGTTGTTTCCGTTTTTAGTATCTCACTTGCCGTTTTAATGTATATTTTATTTATATGCAACTAATGTTTTTTATAACATTTTAATGACTCGAAAATGTACTTCTGTTTCCATATTGGATAAATAAAGTTGAAGCTCAATCTGATGCTTTTTGAAATAGGATTACGTTCCAACGAAACCACGAGATTTGGACATCTTGCAGTCCCACACCCTTTGACTGTACTGTAGTTTTTAAATTGATTCCTAAAGATGACCTAATAAAGATAAAACCTCGAAAATTATGGCCTCAATGTTTATTTTGTTCCACTATCATCTCAATCCCCTAATGCGAGTATGGATTTATACTTTTACTGCTGTCATTAATGATATTTACAGAAGCGGATCTGGGTTCAAATTTAGGGATGGTGGGGGGGGGGGTCAAAATGTTTCCAAAAATCCCCCAAAAGAAAGGGGCATACATACAGAAAAAAGAATGTGTAGTTGTATACGTATTCTTTTTTTCATGAATTGATGAACCGAGATGGACATGAAGAACGCACTTTCGTACAAAAACTATGTTTACAACTTAAAAAACAGGACCCCCTGACACCCCCTAGATGGTGACCTCCCCACTCTCATATCTACCAAGGCTTTAAACACTTCTGTGTTTATACTGTTAAATAGGTAAATTGTGGAGTAGCTTTAAATCTCGTCCAAAGTCATTGGCTAAACTCTTGTTAGAAACCGTTTTTGTATTAATTTTCTGATCAGGATTTTTTTTGTTATAAGCAAGCCAAAAAGACGAAAATAATGTTAATGATATTAATATTGTGATGATAATAATCATGATAACGATAAAATATAATAATAATAGTAATAGTAATAATAATAATAATAATTAATAATAATAATAATAATAATAATAATAATAATAATATTAAAAGTAATAATAATAATAAAAATAATAATAATAATATCACCATTAAATTCAGAAGTACATTTAGCACAGGCAATTAATTGCTTTATGATTATTTTTCACTCTGTATCTTGTCGGCGACATACGCAGGAGTGCTGTAGGTTGGCCAGGTTTAAATACCACCAACAAAACATCGCAGTTGCAACAAGAGTTGAAAGCACAGTGGAAGGCGTTTTCATCCAGTGACGTATCTAAATATTGCAGTATATTGAATTTATATAACGCACATTATCAAATTGGGAAAGAACAGCTCACTGCACTTTGTGATCGTTGTATAAATATACTACCGTATCATGCATAATACGCAACCTCCTCCACCAATAAGATTATTCTTAGGCCTACTAGGGCCTATGTTTTTTCCAAATAATGTACAGCAAAGTTCTTTATTATATTCTATTAAAGAGAGGCCGAAGTAGATAAAGTGTCTTGCCCATAAGCGGCGGCACGAATGGAACAGTTCGGTGGGCTCGGTAGCACTTAGCGAGCCGAGCGAGAAAACAAAGGCTGGTGTCAAGGGTATGCCAATAAAATACGGCCGAGAGTGCACAAGTTTAGGCAAAGATTCGCACGAACTCATACGATTGGACGTCTAAAATAGAAGTCGGCCGGTCGTTTGCGTAAATGTATTCATAAATTGTTTTGGTCAATTATTTGTGGGGCCTACAGAAAGGGCTGGTCTATCCGGCGTGCCGTCACCAGTGGTCGTGTCCAAGGACAGACGTTGTGACCAGCATCGTTCTAGTAGTATGGATTGAAATCGAAAAGTATTTCCGCTGCGCGCCGACGGTTTACGTACACGTGGACAGTGTGTGAGAATAAGACAACGCATTCCCGCTGTATCGTTTATTATCGCTTTGAAGACAGTTGATGTGATGTGATGTAAAATGGTATTTCATTATGGTCATGTAGTCAAGTGCACAATCAATGAAGACGTTATCAATATACAGTATACTTAATGAAGCATCATAATAATTGTATTTGAGTCATCTACCGATTAAAATGATGAAAATATTTACAAATTATTGATGTTGATGTCAAGGTAATATTGATCCAGCAAATGGATCAAAGTTATTCGTTTAATTTTATTTATAACAATTTGGTCAAGAAATGTTTGTACTGTTAGGCACATATAGTTATATTTCTTTATCTATCTAGCAAATCATCTGTTAAATATACCACTAAATTGATTAATGTAGGCTACCATTATTGAAAATGAATTAGAAATATTGCATGGTCTTATTGCTACTATTATAATTTATACATTTTAAAAATTTATATAACTTAGTACATAAAACTTTAGCGCCCTTTTCCTAATAAAACATCTGCAAATCTTAGTCTGTGTAACTTATCATTTTAAGTTTATATTTTTTTGGTTCTTTAAATGGAGAATGTCTTTGTTGCAGCAGTTACGGCGAAGCTACGTGCCCACAAGAGAGGCAACACACGATGTAATCTGGAACTATCATTTGTTGCTAGTAAACATGTTAATTTCACCTTCCAAAAGCCAAGCTTTTATTAAATACAGTACACCGAAGATACGTCAGACCTGCATGTTCAATAGTTTTCTTTTCCTTACTCTGTCGTGAGTCGAAAGTCGACGATTTAATCTGACCATAAGGCATAGGTTGACCTAAATGTTTCCAGTCAACGTAAAAGTAAGAATTTCTTACGATTCATAGATTCTTACCACTCTTACGCAAAGTTGGAATAATAAAACCAATTTCTTCTAATTTAAATACATTTTCCCCTGAATCCAAGCGACGAGAGAGAAGAAATTAACGTTTTCGCATGCGCTCAACACATGATACAGTCATAACGTATAACGACGCTTCATAAAATAACACAGCAGTATAGATTGTTTGCGAGAAAACTTATTGATTTGGATAATACGTCAAAGCGTTCCCTGTCTGTCATAATTTGTAATGATTTATTATATTCTTCGATCGATTTGGAGTAATTTAATAATTAGTTAGACTTTGGCTCTCAGTCTATTTAAATTCAACACTTCACAAAGAGCCAGAATGATATAGCTCAAACCTTTATACTAGCGGTAAAGTAATAACCAACTCCAAGAAAAACGAAAATGTCTCGTACACCAACGTGTATTGTTAGTGTAATCTTTTTTTGTTTAGCTTTAGGTAAGTAGAAATATTAATTACAGTATTATAATTTCGTAATAGGTTCTCCTAAAATACCCGTACTAATATTAATATTTTGCTACTGCAAACTGCTACTGTACTATTAATGTTCAAGTTGAAACAAAACATCTAAATCACGTACTACTTCTCTGTAGCGGAGGCAGATTGGACGAGCGTAACGTTTGGGGACATTACTTACCATTTTGACGACGCGGATAAGAAATATGTCCAGATCGCAAATCACTGTTCCAATCAAGGATTATTCGTTTACATCGAAAATGAAGAACAAAACTCGTTTTTAGCCAACAACTTGAGAGACAATAATCCAATAGTATTAGGCATCAAAAGAGTTGGAGGAGTGTGGACGTGGCAAGCAACAAATGAGCCGGCTGGTTACACAGGTAATATATATGCTTGCATTCTTTTATCAAGACAATAAATAAAAGTACAGTATGTTATAGGTTGCAAAATCTGAAAACCTTTAAAAATAACCGTAAAAAACTACCGTAAAAACCGTCTGTATTTTATATTTTGAAAATTGCGTCATCAATGTTCTCACAACATGTTTCAACAGTGGTGATGTAGCTTAGTGGTTAAGATGCTTACACGTTACCCCTGCTGGATTAATGTTAGCAGTTGTCCACTGCCTAATGTCTGTATTAATTAACGCACGTCTATCCGTGTAAGATTAGCATACGTGGCCCGTGTAATGTCCATGTAAAAAACAGACATCACAAAATGTAGATGTTGAGCAAGGAATCTATGGCATTTACGCGTATGGTTATTACCGACTTTTGTGAAGACGTCAGTAGGTGCAGTATCCGACCAGTTGGTCGAAATCCAGTTTGCCGAAACCCGGTTTGCCGAGTTTAGGCCCGGTTTGCCGCATCCAGTTCACTGAAAACATGAAATCCCAGTTGATCGAAACCCGGTTTGCCGAAACCAGTTTGTCGAATTGTAGTACTAACTACTATCACTTGAATTGTAAAAAAAAAATAATTAGGTGCTATGTTCAGTGGTGGTGACAGCGGGGGTGTGGGGCATGGTGGCCATTTGCCCACCCGTCGGACAGGCCTGGACCCCCTGTCGTCCGAAGAACGACTAGATCGTCGGACCAAAAATAACTAAAACAAATAATAATAATTTGCATATCCAAGTAACGCTATTTTGATTGCCAATCCCTAATATTGTGGTCTAAATCACAATTAGGACCAAATTAAGCCATAAAAACTCTCCCCATGAACCCTAACATTGATTTTTTATTCTGGGCCGTCGACCGAGGCGTCGTCATCGCCTTGGTTCGGACCCCTCCGTCGGACACGCCGGACCCCTTGTCTGCAAATTTCTGGCACCACCGCTGGCTATGTTTGCTTCTGGTAGGCCTGATAAAATTACACATTAATTTTAGTCAATCCTTGGTATATTTATGGCAGACAGACATACTAAAGAGATAAAAACATGCGTAACAGAGTACATTAGTATAATTACAACATTAGTGCCATCTAGTTTTTCTGTGAAAGAGTAGACAGGGGCACAATGCTGTTGAATGCGGTTTGTATTACAGGGGTCCAGGGGTTTTGCCGTTTAAACTTCGTTTACCATGATGCCCAGAAAAAATATGAAGTAATGATTATGATAATTAGGGGGGGGGGGGGGGCTAGAAAAAAATATGAAATAATGTTGATGATTAGTGAAAAGATTCATCTGGATCTCTAGACTGTATTTGTTAAGGATTTCTTTTTGATGATCCAAGAAATATTTGATATACTATATATATATATATATATATATATATATATATATATATATATATATATAT